AAAAATTGAAAAAATTCTTAATTAATGAAAAAATAAACATAAATGACCTGTTCAGTATAGTCTCACATTTCTCATGTTTAAGTGCATTTTTTAAACCAGTTAACTTAAAAGAGTCCTGATGACCTTTCACTTATAAAGAAATAAAAATAGATATTGAGCTTACATAACATGACTATCAACGCCGTGTTTCTTCTTCAGGTGAACGACCAAATTTGTTGTTTCCCGAGTATTTTAACTCACACTGGCACCTGTTGCATACGACATGAGTTCTGTCTGTTGAGTCGTCCTTCTGTCAGAATCCAAAATATTTCTACAGTGTTGATTTAAATCCAGCAGGAGAGTGAACTTCATCATCTGGGTTTTCTGCCTCGTCTGCCATGTTGCTGAGGCGGCCGCAGAGCGCAGCCATGCACGGAAATGGTGACAGACGTGCACTGGGAATTTCAAAATAAGTGTATTTTAAAGATGATGTTATGAATCGATGTTTTAGTTTTGTCACAATATAATTGAATCATTAATCATTTAATAGATATATCGATTTAAATTGATGTATTGTTACACCCCTACTAAATGAAAGTATATGAGGATGAAATTACCAGTCAGTCCCATTGCTGTGAGCTTTTATGAGCTCTCAGGATAATCAGTGCATGCTCTTTCATTTGGTAAAAATGGGTTAAGAACAGCTGACCACAGAGGAAACGGGCGGAAGTGACGGGTGGAGTCAAAAGACAATGCCTCACCCTTAAACATGGTACAGTTGTAAATTCATGCCTAAACAAAACAACTACCACTGCATGAAGGAATGCATCTCCCTTGCTGCATTTCATACCAAGGTTTTAAACAAAGACCTTGTGTGATCTTTTAGCACCATAAGTACATGTTGGGTATGATTCTCAGCTACTACCACACCAAATGTTAGCTCAATCTCTGTAAAATGTACTAAGTTATAGCCACTTTGTGTTTTCAAAGGTTGACTAGTTGTTGCGTCCATCTTGAATCAGGTCAGGTCCAGTTAATCAGTTGTAGGTGAAGCTACACCATTTTCTAACTGGCCGGGGAAAGATGAGCCAGCAAGCCCTCCAGGAGCCACCTGGATAGTCAGCAGCTAGCAAACCCTGCTGAGCCACCACCATCAATAGACCATTCTGTCAGGACGGGATAAAAAAAAGGAGAGAGGAATGGCCCTAACCAACTGTGCTGATGTCTTCCACCACAGGTCACTGATGAACCTGAAAAGCTGCTTCACAAGTTTTTGAATGGCAGCAGCTGACACGATTTATTTATTCGGCTGCTGGCACGATCTAGATTTCTTTTGGACCTTGTAGATGTTGTATTTCTTTGTCGCTTTTTCATGCTTTGTTTTGTGCTTTTGTTGCATGCTTTGGTATTTTTGTTTGTTTGTTTGTTTGGTGAGTTTGAGACGGTTTTTTTCGTCCTGAGCATTTCATTGCATTGTTGACCTTGTGTTGACCTGCACATGACAAATAAACAATAAACTAAAACTTAGGAATGTGCTCAGCTAATACTAGGCTAATGCTTAAAAAAAGTGACTTATATGCCATCTCCACTCATTCTGCAGCATGTAGATGTCTTTTTTTCATTTACCCTTTATTTACCCAGGTAGTCTCATTGAGCCATGAGAACTCATTTTCAAGAGAGATCTGTTTAGGGAGCAGATGGTGGGGGTTAGGGGCCTTGCTCAGGGGCCCAGGGTGGGGCGAATGAGGGTGGAGGGAGGTGTGGGTGTTCCACCTTTTCCACCCACATTTTGACGTTGACGGTACCGGGAGTTGAACCTGCGACTTTCCGATCACAAGCCCATCTTCTAACCTCTGCGCCACCACTCCCCCAATGGTGAGTGGTGACTCATGTAGATGACATGTAGATGACATGTAGATGTCTTTAAGAGGTGAGTCTATCTCTGGACAGTATTCTCAACAATGGTTATGTTACAGCTTTTACTAATGTGACTGGTAGGAATGGTGCCTCAAACACTGCTGAAAATGACCTGGGTGAAGAATGTTAAATGTGATGTTCTTGTTGTATTTTCTTATTTACCCGGATTAAAATTTTTATTTTTATTTATTTATTTTTATTCTTTTTTTTTTTTTTTTTTTGGGGGGGGGGGGGGGGGGTGTAGAAACAAATTATTTTAAATTTCATTATTTTTAAACAATCAAACAAAAATAAAAAGTTCAAAATAGGCATTCTATTGGTATTCATTTTCAGCAAATACTGAAATTTAAGTTATTTCTGTGCATCCCCAGAGGCTTCGGATGTTATCAGCCCATTAAATGGACGTTACTGTCCCTCCTACCTCCTAGCAGTTTTAAAGTTACATTTGTATTGCTGATAAATGACAATATGCAGCGTCGTACACGGGTAAAACAGGAAGTGTTTTTTCTTTTGTCAGCTTTATGTAACACTTTTCCTAAACCTAACCTTACACCTGACCCAGAGCACTGACCCTAAACGTAACCCCTTTACCCTTGTGCCTAAACCTAACCAAGACCGGAAACCTAACCTTAAGACCCTTTACACTGAACCTAACCATGTGAGCCTATTATCAGGACTAACAATGCTAACAACGTACCTTTAAGGTGGCATCCCTACAAAGAATGAACAAGCTTAGGCATAGTTTGCCAGGTTTCTGGGCTGTCGCACGGAGTTTGAGCTCCCTCCAAAGATTTTCTATAGGGTTTAGGTCTGGAGACTGGCTAGGCCACTGCAGAACCTTGATATGTTTCTTACGGAGCCACTCCTTGGTTCCCCTGGCTGTGGCTCTTCAGGTCATTGACCAGCTCCTCCCGTGTAGTTCTGGGCTGATTCCTCACCTTTCTTAGGATCATTGATACGTCACGAGGTGAGATCTTGCATGGAGATCTTGCATGGAGCCCCAGTCTGAGGGAGATTGACAGTCATGTTTAGCTTCTTCCATTTTCTTATAATTGCACCAGCAGTTGATCTTTTTTCATCAAGCTGCTTGGCAATTGCCCCCTAGCCCTTTCCAGTCTTGCGAAGGTCTACAATGTTGTCTTTGGACAGCTCTTTGGTCTCAGCCATGTTAGTAGTTGGAGTCTTACCGATTGTGTGGGGTGGACAGGTGTCTTTATGCAGCTAACGACCTCAAATAGGTGTTTCTAATTTAGAATAATGAAGTGGAGGTGGACTTTTTAGAGGCGGACTAACAGGTCTTTGAGGGCCAGAATTGTTGCTGATTGGCAGCTGTTCAAATACTTGTTTACAGCAGTAACACACAAATAAATTATTAAAAAGTCATACATTGTGATTTCCAGATTTATTTAGTTTTTTAGATTATGTCTCTCACAGTGGACATGCACCTAAGATGAAAATTTCAGACCCCTCCACGATTTCTAAGTGGGAGAACTTGCAAAGTCGCAGGGAGTTCAAATACTTATTTTCCTCACTGTGGGTAAGATGTTAATTATTTTTTTACTTTTCCACAGAATTTACATCAAAAAAGCTGGAAAACAAAGAAGCAAGGCATTTGACTCCTCTCACCTGCTCTTGTATTTTAAGGACTGGTTCATACTGCATGAGATGTGATGAAGCTGTGTCTCCCTGATGTAGGTATATGACAAAAATGGCATCTGTTTCTTCTCGCACCGCCCCCGAGACTATGTTCTGTGTGTAACTCCCTGTCAGAGTTATCGTCTCGCAGGGTATGCACCAAGTATTGCGTGACTGGTCCGAACTTGGTGACCATGTTTATGCAGACAAGTGGCTACAGTGTGCTGCTCTCATCTCTGTTCTGCTGAGGAGCTGCTGGCTAAGGCTGTTAGAAAATGCAGCCATCTTTACAACTGCCCAGTGAAACTTATAAAAACAGTGCAATAAACTAGTAAAGATAATGAAAGAACTTGTGAAAGGAGATAGCATATTTTTTGTGCATCAAAGACACCGCACACGGACACACCCAGCTCTCCATGGCTGTGCTGATGACCAGGAGGGAATGTGCCTCAACCAGATAGCATAGGGACAAGTTTCAGCATCGTCTGTTGGAAACTGTGGCATGTTTGGTGTAGTAAATTTGCAAAATAGTACTTTCCCTCAGTTAACATGAATATCAAATGTTCCTCCTTCAACTCCTCCATCATCAACAGAAAATAAACATCCACTGACAACCGTGTCATCGCTGTGTTTTGGTGTGTGCGTGTTCTGCAGTGGGAGGGTAACCAGGACTTCTCCCTCACAGTTTCTAACTGGGTATAAAATGTCTGTGCAAAAAATAAATACAAATAATAAAGTATCTCACAATCACATCAGCAAGAAACAATGTCTTACATCTTGTGAAGTATAACTAGGGCTTAATGTGACCCCAGGCTCAGCTGGTAGAGCTGTTGCCTCTCAGCAAGAAGGTTGCCGGATCAAATCCTGGCTCGGGACCTTTCTGGGTGGAGTTTGCATGTTCTCTCCGTGCATGCGTGGGTTTTCTCCGGGTACTCCGGTGTCCTCCCACAAACCAAAAACATGCATGTTAGACTGATTGGTAACTCTAAATTGTCCCTAGGTGTGAGTGAGAGACTGAATGGTTGCCTCTTTTGTCTCCGTCCCTGTGATGGACTGGAGACCTGTCCAGGGTGACGGACAGACAAAAGGATGGGTGGATGGATGGAATGAGACTACTGGCTTCTCTTTTCAGACACATGTGCTAGCCCCTATCTCCAGATGTTCTAATAACCTCTCAGTGCATCCTCTGTGAATTATTGATGATGAGATCAGATCGATAAAAACAGTGACGCTATGAATTGGTCTTAGTCTGTTATGGGGTTTTAGTGCTTGTTTTTGGACATGCTGCTTTTATCACACTTTTTGGAACAGTATTTTTAATTAGTAGTGGTTGTTTTCTCCGCTTGTCTGAATATTCCTGTGCAGCCCTCAGGTTATGATGTTTCCACACACCAGTGATCTCCAGGCCACACAGGTGATCCCTGCTGGCTTTTGCACGCACTGAGTGAGTGTTGTTGTTTTGGACCTACCTGATTTTGTAGTTGGGCAGCGTGTGTTTCTTCTTGATGACCCGCTTCAGCTGATTAACTATGAAGGAGGTGAGCTGAGGCAGAGGCCTCCCCTCAAACTGTGACTTCACCTCGAAGTCCACCAGCGGGTCCTCGGCGAACGAGAACGACCAATGGGAGAAGGGCATGCGCGTGAACTGCAGCCGGAGCCTGCCCACCACGCGCTTCATCTTCACGAACAGGTAGGCGGACTTCCCGAACACCAGGTCCACGTCTATGGCCAGGTGGAAGCCGCCGCTGTACTCGAGGTCCACCTCGAAGTTGAGCTCCTCGGGCATGCCGTCCTCGTTCAGCTGCAGCGGCTTCACGAGCCTGGTCGCTTTGAAGAGCGGGAGCGAGTTCCCCAGAGAGATGTCCCGGAGACTCAGCCCCTCCAGGAGCCGGCCCGCCGTCTTCGTCTGCAGCAGCTCCTCGAACTCCACCTTTATCTTCTTCGTGATCCAGTGTCGAACCGCGGGGGTGTCGCGGAGCTCCCGGAACAAGAAGAGGAAGATCGCGTTGAGGAAATGACACGTCTCGGCTCTGCCCGCTTCAATGGGCTCCGCGCTGCTTTGCGAAGGCGGCGGCTGTTTGGGGCTGCCGCCGGAGACCGCCGCCTCCTGCTGCCTGCTGCCGCCGGCGGCCTCCGCCTGCTTGGAGGCAGCAGCTGCCGTGCCGTCCTGCTGCTGCTGGGTCGCTTCGGTATGCGGGGTATTAAAGTAATCCTTCAGCGCGTTATCCGGCACCACTTTGACATACTGAACGGTCCTGCCTGAGGGCTCCGGGCTCCTCCTGTATATGAGCAGGAACTGTAACACCAACGTCAAGACCGCGCCACAAAACGCGGAAATCAGTATTAGGTAAATCATTTCGAGCGATTACCCCGAAACTCACTCAATTTATCGTCATAGCCAAAGGTTTAGTCGCGTTGACAAAGCAAGTTCCACCTGGTCATCTGCTTTTCCCTGAGCATACAGCTCCTCACCTGATTGGACGAACGGCGTACGTCCGCTGTGCGTAATGACGGAAGTGTTTCACGCGATGCGTTCAGGACGTTTCGGATTTAACAGTTACTACTGGAGAGTCTGTTGTAGAAAGGAGTAGCAAGGCATTGTTTTATGATTTCAAAGAGAATATACACTCCTGGAAATGAAAAAAATGGAAACAAATAAAACAATATGTTAGTCAAAGAGGAATTACGAAAAATAACTAACGTATTCATTCACATTTTTTTGTTATTTTACAATAAGTTACATTATTTTTGTAGGTATATACCCAAAAAATAATTTGTGTATTGTCCGTGAATTTTTTTATCATTATTATTATTGGAATGGTTATTTTTGTGTATTTTCTTTAAATACTTACTTTTTTATCCTACTCCCTTTTGCTTTTGCTTTTTATTCAGTGAGGAGACCACATGTTGCAGCACGGTGGCGCAACAGGTAGAGCTGCTGCCTCTCAGGGAGCAGGTCCCCAGCCGAAACACCGGCCCGGGGCCCCCCTGGGTGGAGTTTGCATGTTCTCTCCGTGTGTGCGTGGATTTTCTCGGGTACTCCGGTTTCCTCCCACAAACCAAAAACATGCATGTTAGACTGATTTGTGACTAAATTGTCCCTAGGTGTGAGTGAGAGCGTGAATGGTTGTTTGTCTCTATGTGTCCCAGTGATGGACTGGAGACCTGTCCAGGTGTACCTCGCCTCTCGCACAGTGATTGCTGGACATGGGCACCCGCGACCCCCGTGACCCAAAATGGAAGAAGCGGGTAAAAGATAATGGATGGATGGAGACTACATGGTCAACAGCCTATTTTACTTTAAAAAAACATTTGTTTCTGTACATGTCTGAAAAAAGAAATAAGCACTAGAGCTGCCAGCTCTGAAATCTGGTGCCTTATATCCCCATAAATTTGTGTCAAGTTTTGCTTGATATAATATAACAACTAACAAACAAACCAAAAACAGCAGTGATTTTGCTGCAAGGAGCTGCTCTGAATGGATCATCAAGAGATTCATTGTGTTACCAAAAGAGACTTTGGCACCTTGTTGAACCAGGTATCAAATGATGACCCTGGGTGACATTTTAAGGTTTCCTGTGGTTAAAAACTCCAACTTTCCTCTTTGTGAAGGAAATAGCTCAGAAATTCCTGTGATGTGCATCACATGCGATGGCTTCTCAACAACAACATTAGCTTCCTTTGTCAGAGACAAAATACTCCAGATCATTTGAAATGGACTTGCATCATATTGTTAATCAGTAATCATTCACTTTTCAAAGTTACCTTCGACCAGCCTTTAGGAAATGCTTGTTTTTGGGTTTGAGTTTTATGTCTGGTTTCTGTACTCACCCTGTCCTGGTCAGGGTGAGTGGGGAGTGAGAAGAACATATTCCACCAGTCAAATAGGTGATAGACCAATTCACAACCTTCTATTAACTGCTTGTAATGGCCAACTTTGGTATTTATTGCAAGTTATCCTTATGGTATCTAATGAATGAATGTGTGATGCAGTATCCCTCCTAAGAATTGCAGAAGAGTGAAGGAAAAACTGCTGTGGTGGAATGATGAGTGATGCAGCTTGAACTTCTGCCATAATGTACAAAAGAAACTGATTTGATCCCAGCAGAATCAACACCATCACAATCATGAACTCATCTGACTGGGCTGCACTTGGAGATGGGCTTCGTGTTGGAAACTTTCACAGGTTGTGTTTCCTTCACAGTCCAGTAGAGGTCTTCAGTGTTATCTGGTTGTTCTTTGTCTCCCAGTCCTTCCTGACACTCCTGTCTGCTTCCAGCTGCAAATGAACTGGGTCTGTTCTGTAGTTGTTAACGTTTTCAACATTTTCAAATAATTTTATGTGGATTTGTTTTCGTGGATATTTCTTGAAGTGCAAAGCAAGATAAGGTTGTTCTTGCTGTATTTTTTCTTTTGTATAATTTTTTTTTTCATTTCTTTGCAAAGGTCCCTCTTCTTCTTTTGCAACGTGTGAAGAATGTGGTTTAAAACATGTGACTTGTGTAGCAATATGAGTCAGAACGCATACAGGCTGCGGTGCAAAATAAATAAAAATATTGATCACCCCCAATAAGGAGGTTAGCTGGGAAATATGTTTGTATGTTAGTCATCATTGTGAAGCTTAGGCATTCCCCTTTTTAAATATGCGGCTGATATTCTCTATATCACTATACAACAATAAAAACTTGAGTTTTCAAACCAACATGATCTTAAACATAACTGCAAGGTCAGGTGATAAATCAGCAAATTAAGTAAGAGTTGAAGATTTCGAGGCAGAGAAATTGAATATAATAACCTGTCTCTCTCTCTCACACACACAATGGAAAATCAATCAAAGGTTAAAAAGAGGTGGTGGAGCAAATTAAAATGGCTATATTTACTGTAAGTCTTAACACCTTGCAAAGGATAAGTATGGCAATTGCACTTTTCTGTCAGTGTAGTTTTAAAAGTGGAGGAAGGAGTACGCAGGTCGACTACATTCTGTGTAGAAACCTGAGGGAGATTGGAGACTGTAAGATTGTGGCAGGGGAGAGCGTGACCAGACAGTATCAGATTAGAATGACTGTTGTTGTGAAGAAGAGAAAAAGAGTAAAATCATAGAAGAAGACCAAATGGTGGAAGCTGAAGAAGGAAGAATGTTGTGATAAATTGAGAGAGGAGCTGTTAAGTGTGGGTAGTAAGAAAGAACTTCCAAATGACTGGACTACAGCAACAGTAATTAGAAAGACAGGTAGGAAGCTGAGGGAGGAGGTGTGGTATTGCATGAGGAAATCTGGAGTGGCAGAGATGTATGTTAGACTGTTACAGGACATGTATGAGGACAGCAGGAGAGTGGTGAGATGTACTGTAGGGGAAAACGATAGTTTCAAGGTGGGGGTGGGAGTGCATCAAGGATGGGCTCTGAGCCCCTTCTTGTTTGCTCTGGTGATGGACCGACTAACAGATGAGGTCAGGCAGGAATTCCAGCAGACTGATGTTTGCAGATGACATTGTGATCTGTGATGAGGTCAGGGAACAGGTGGAAGAGAACTTGGAGAAGTGGAGGTGTGCACTTGAAAGAAGAGGAATGAAAGTCAGCCGTAGTAAGACAGAGTACATGTGTGATGAGGCTATGGAGTAGAGGTCACAAAGGAGCAGGACTTCAAGTAATTGGGTCAACTGTCCAGGAAAACATGGTAAAGAGATGAAAAAAGAATCCAGGCAGGATGGAGTGGATAAAAATTTCAGGAGGGGCGAAATGTGCCAAGAAGAATCTGTCCAGAGGAACTGATATGACCTTTTTAGAGTTTCAGGAGAGATTTACGATCAAAGGTCAAAGGAAAATTCACAAGACAGTAGTGAGAAAAGCAATGTTGTATGGCCTGTTGTGGCACTGACAAAAATACAGGCGAAAGAACTGGAAGTGGCAGAAATGAAGATGTTGAGGTTCTCCTTAGGAGTGACAAGGATGGATAAGATTAGGAATGATAAATGGACTGTACTTAAATAGCGCCTTTCTATCTTATTTCAAGAAACTCAAAGCACTTTACACTACAATCTGTGTCCTCATTTACCCATTCATACAGCACTCTACTAGTTCTCTACAAAGATAATTGAACAAATTATTCTAAAGAGACTAATCAGAGCTTTATCACATTCATACACTGATGGGACACACATCAGAGGCTATGAGGGGTTCAGTGTCTTGCCCAGGGGCACCTCAGCATGTGACTGCTGGTGGGTTCGAACCCCCAACTCTCGCATTGGAGAACGACTGCTCTAATCACTCAGTCACAGCCGCCCCATAGTAGGACTATAGGAAAATAGGAGTGAGATCATCAGAGGTACAGCACAGGTTGAACAACTGGGAGATAAAGTTAGAGAGGCCACACTGAGATGGTTTGGACATGTCCAGAGGAGGGACAGTGGGTATACTGGTAGAAGGATGTTAGAAATGCAGCTGCCAGGAAAAAGACAAAGAGGAGGTATATGGATGCAGTTAGAGAGGACATGGAGGTAGTTGGAGTGAGGACAGAGTGAGAAGGAGGAGGATGACTCACTGTGGAGACCCCTGAAGAGGGAAAAGTTGAAAGATTTTTTTTTCTTGAATTAGAACAAGGCCTATTTAGACATTCTATCTTTTGATCCATCCAAAATCCATCTATCCATCCATCCATCCATCCATCCATCCATCCATTCCTTTACCTGGTTGTTCTGTGTAGAGTTGCAGTAAAAAACAAAAAGAATGGTGTTGTTTAAATAACTGAAGAGACTTTAATGTATCTCTTTGTGGGAAATATGTGTATGTAAAGTATTTTTTTTAACGTGGGCTATTTTAAAAAATAGCAAAGCTCAAAAGTCAACATCCATCTCCTGTAGCTGAACGTTTTGATATGCGATTGACTGGATTAAGCGTCTTTGAGTATTTGGAAAAGCACTATACAACTAAAATGTATTATTATTATTGTTATTAACACAAAGTCTGCAGAGCAGTTAGACTCTAAAGAACTTACAGAACAGTAAAATCAGGAAAGCAATAGCGTGAGTGCAGTGCAGCATTCATACAATATAACTTTCATTGTAATTATACATTTGGGATGAATAAAATATTTAGCTACATGTTCATTATTTCTGGATTAGATTAAATGAAGGGCATAACTGCTAGGCTGTGTCAAATCTTTCCGTTTGAATAGTCAAATTTCTCGTCATTGTTGATTAAAAAAAATATATATTTAACTTTAGACTTTCCATGAACGCAACCTTGTATTTGGAAACACTACTACGGGTTTGACCCGCCTTCAAACCGAAGCTGTAAATTCCAGAGGAAGCCTGAAGGCAGCATCATTCTCTTTTACCTGTTCAATTCACAGCTTCATTTGGTAAAGACGCCGCCGCGGGGCTGGCACGCGCTCTCTTCTCCGGGTTCACACCGGAGGATAACGAAGAAGTTCCAGGTGTTCACTCTAAGAAGAGACTTTTATTTCATCCGCACACAGTTTCCCTGAAAGGGAGAAGTGCCTGCTTCAAACATGAGCAGCTTATTGACGTGTAAGGAACCTTTTGGTGAGTACATCACTGGCTCTTTGTGTTGGCTCACGCGCTCTTGCTTATCTTTATATTTAACATGTGTTTTCATTCTTATAGCCATTATTGTACAGCTGCTCGTACCATTTTGTTGGATACACATTTTCACTGTTTTGAAAAGGTCAAACCTTTTTAATAGACATGGAGAAACGTCAAGTGTCATCTGGTTAACCCAAGAAGTTTCACGCTCACAAGAAAACTATAGGAAACCACACCGGCCTTCCACCTGTACTTTTGTGTTAACTGTCCAGTAGTCATGAGTCTGTTCTATGGAAACAGATGTGAGACAACCACACAACACTTGGGAGGAGAAAACAAACAACTGACACCAAAACCCAAATTAATGAATAAAAACAAAATAAACTAAAACTACTTTTTTTAAGTGAAACAAGTATGACTTACTCAAAAGAAGGAAAATGTGTTTGTTTCCATGTTTTAAGGTTGACCCTCCTGCTGCCTTTGGATCAAAACCCTTCGTTTTATTACTGAGGCCTCAAGGGTCATTTTGACCCAAGGGCAGCAGCAGGGTTAAAACTAAAGTTAAAATAGTATTTAAAGAACAGTTAGATGGACAATCAGAGGATAATATGATATTCAAAGAGATTCATTAATCAAACCAGTTCAAAAACCTACGATAGTCATAGGTTTTGAGTGACTTTATAGTTCAGAAAATGTATATATATATATATATATATATTTTTATATTATTTTTTTTTTTTTTTTTTTAACATGTACTTTGTAACTTGCGTCAGGCGTATGTATGAGTTCTACTGGTAAACAATATTATTAATCTATTTCTGTAAGTTTCAGATGTCTTGTGAGTATTTTGAGGTCAACACTCAGTGCATGTTTGAGACTCTTATTGTGAAAGATTAAAGGAAATTCCATGAGTTCTGCTGGAGTATAAATATATGTTGTTGTTGTTGTTGTTGTTGTTGTTGTTGTTGTTGTTGTTGTTGTTGTTGTAGCAACAAAGCAAATAGTCTGGTTTAGAAGCTCATGGGGTTTGCTTTCTTTAGCTTGATCCCATTCTTGAAATAGTATTAAAGTTTCTTCTGAACATTTTTACTTTCAGCTCAGACCTGAAAATCAAACAGCATTTTCTTCAAGTATGTTATCATATAGACATTCTGTTCTAGACGTGTTCGACACTGTATCTTAGGGCTTATTTTTTATTTTGAATTAGTTCAATTTGTTTTGTTCAAGAAGAATCTCTGATTTTAACGAGTACAAACAATTGTTGTGTTATTCTCAAGTAATAAATAATTATAATAATATACAATAACAATTTTCTATAATACTAATTTTGATTGATTTGACAATATATAACTTGGTTAGTAGGAATAAAATAACTAAATGCTGCTGTTTGTATTAATCTTGTTGAGTCCTAGGAGAAAACAAAACCAGCAATTAAACTAGACCCAAAAAAGTGTCAAAGTTTATTTTTCTACGTGTGTGTGTGTGTGTGCGTGTTTCCCCACTCTTTGTTTCACTCTTGACCTTTGCAGAACAGTAGCTGGACTCAGTTGAACTTGGACCAGTATGGCTTCATGGAAGTTGGTTCTGAATCAGTTTACAGTCACTTAAAGTTGCAGTTGTGTACAAAGCACGTCACATTTTTTTTCTATTAATTATGAAACAAAGAAAATAACAAATAAAAAAATACATAAAACTTTAATTCTAGCTGATTTAAACATTCTAGATTAGACTGATGCTATTTTTTTGTCTTTTGTTCAATTTTATTTTTGCTATTTTTGAGTATTTAGGTAAAGCAAAAATATTGGTCATGAATTACTCAATAAGCATCATCATGAAGGGGTTTTTTACTCTTAAAGTTTTCTTTGAATGATAAAATGTAAAGTCCCTTTTTACGTAAATAGCTGCCTTAATACAACAACATGTGTCAAGTGAGGCATGATGGATGATGGAGGATAAAGCTTTCCAAACAACTTGTGCTGTTTCCAGAGTGACAGAAATACTCAATCGTCTAACCCTGAATCGCAAGTGTCATTCAATCGCAAGTGTCATTCAATCGCAAGTGTCAAGAGGGTGGCTGTGGCTGAGTGGTTAGAGCAGTCGTCCTCCAATGCAAGAGTTGGGGGTTAGAATCCACCAGCAGTCACATGCCAAAGTGTCCCTGGGCAAGACACTGAACCCCTCATTGCCTCCCATGTGTGTCCCATCGGTGTTTGAATGTGATAAATCACTGATTATTCTCTTTAGAATGATTTGTTCAATTATCTTTGTAGAGATCTAGTAGAGTGCTGTATGAATGGGTAAATTTTTTTTTTTCATTTAGCCTTTATTTATCCAGGTTAGTCTCATTGAGCCACGAGAACTCATTTTCAAGAGAGACCTGTTTAGGGAGCACATGGTGGGGGTTAAGGGCCTTGCTCATGGGCCCAGAGTGGGACGAATGAGGGTGGGGGCAAGTGTGAGTGTTTCACCTACCCCACCCACAATTTTTGATGTTGTCGGGGCCGGGGCGTGAACCGGCGATCTTCGGATCACAAGCCCACCTCTCTAACCTCTGCGCCACCACTCCCCAAAAAAATGAGGCACAGATTGTTGTAAAGAGCTTTGAGTATCTCGATAAGATAGAAAGCCGCTATATAAGTACAGTCCATTTACCATTCTACCCACAGGCCCACCTTTCCTTTCAGAGGCACTTCCTTTTCAGGTCATGGGGGTCACTGATGTCCATGTCAGGCTATCACTGTCCGAAAGGCAGGGGACACCCTGGACAGGTCTCCAGTCCATCACAGAGACACATAGAGACAAACAACCATTCACTCTCTCTCTCACCTAGGGACAATTTAGAGTTACCAATCAGTCTAACACAGGGGTGTCAAACTCACTTACAAAGGGGCCAAAATTAAAACCTTTTTCAAACTAAGGGCCGGTTTCAGAATCAACATTAACTCAAGGCAGATACCCAACATATTTTCTTGGTTGCAGGTTCCTCAACAAGAGTTTGATTGGTCTCATTTGATGTTCTCTGTTGCACTTTTGACATCATTCATTCAACCTTTATTTATACAGGTTAGTCCCATTGAGCCACGGGGACTCATTTACAAGAGAGACCTAAATCATAATCAAAGATTATTGAAAAAAATTAAAGTGATAAAAAATTTCACATTTAAAATAACATCTTGGGGGCCAGATAAGATGTCAACGAGGGCCACATTTGACCCCTGGGCCTTGAGTTTGACACATGTGGTCTAACATGCATGTTTTTGTTCTGTGGGAGGAAACAGGAGTACCATACCATACCAGCTTTATTTATGGAGCATTTTAAAGTTTTAGTGTTGTCATCCAACCACAGTTCGCACTTGATTTTAGGAGATCTGATTTTTAATGGAGACACAGAATCCAGAACCATTGTGCAGGTGGAGGGAAGCCATGAGCTGAGGGCCTCGGTGTTGTTGGTCTCTGGGACGGCACAGTTCTGATTAAAAGCAGATGAAAAGTGACCAGCAGGGGAAGAGTTCAAAACTTGACAGAGTCGAGCTGCAGCGCGGGGTTTAGCTTTAGTGCAGGATAAGTTAATTTCAAATAAAACAGGCATGTGGTCTGAAAATACAGGATCACTACTCACTACATTAAAAACAGGTAAACCACAAGATAAAACCAGATCCAGAGTGTGTCCATGTTCATGTGTAGGACAAGTCACAGACTGTACAAGATTAAAGGAGTCAATGATGTTTAAAAAGGACTGAGCCATGGGTAAATCAGGACAACATATATGGATATTAAAATCATCAACAATGAGAACTCGATCGTACTTTGGCATAATTTCTTCCCCAAAGTCTGAGAATTCATTTATAAAATCCTTAGTGTAATGGGGGGGGGGGGGGGGGGGGTAGACAGCCACACACAGCATAATGTGGGAGGAGCAACGTTCAAACCGGCTGTGCTCAAAGCTACTGAATGAAGATGGAGGCAGCTGTTTACAGTCAAAACAACTTTTAAAAACAGTCACTATTCCTCCTCCTCGACCAGACGTACGGGGGGAATTAAAATAGCAGCAATCCTGCGGTGAAAGTTCCATCAAAACGCTGGACTCACATGATTCCGTTATGAATAAGAGTACTCGGAGAAAACCCACGCATGCACGGAGAGAACATGCAAACTCCACCCAGAAAGGTCCCGGGCCAGGATTTGAACCAGAGTAGCCTGCTCGCTGAGAGGCAACTGTTCTACCAACTGATCCACCGTGCTGCTTGTAAAATACAATCATTGAGAAAAAGAAAGTTTTACCAGGTTGTGAAACTATTTAGATCCAACCACAAGTGTAAAAACACAACAGATTCCAACATGTCTTTTTTTTATTTATTTCATTTCGAACAGTTAAAATGTCATCAAAATAAAAAGCATGAATAAAAACGTAAGTATTTCCACCAAAATATTCTAATCTTCTAAGGGAGCAGGAAGAAGCAATGACTTATCTAGACTTTCCCTGAGTTTACATACAAATTCTGATCAAACTATATGAACTACTGTATATTCAATATATACATAAATACCCATACATGCAAATATAACTATACATGCAGACATGCATACGTAGCTACATATACTTACACATACATCAGTATACCTGCAGATATAAATCTACTCTCGTATCACCTACAGATCAAAGCTTAATATGCAAACACACGGATTAACAAATTAACAGCTGGAATAACGTCTGTGTGTTTAAAAACTAAGTTCGCTCTTTCTGCTTTTAGGAATCAAGAGCAGCTGGAGTTGTTGATCAAATGTATGAACTGATCATGATCCGTGTGAGCGCCTCTATAAAAGCAGGAGTTTTGAGTTAGGCATACAGTACAGGTGTATGTTACCACAATGTCAAGATGGAAAGACATCAGCAATGACTTTGTCTGAAAAAAGACTTGCAGTCATTTCTAAATAATTTAGAGTCCACCATTTTACAGTGAGAAAGATTATTCACAAGACATTTCATAAAGCTGCCAGTC